TCGGACCTTATCAAATACAGTGTCTGTATCTCCTGTAAATGTTACTGCGTCTTCCAGGACACAGGTTCGCCAATTCTTTCTTGGCCGCCCACGTGATCTTCGGCCGTGAGCAGGTATCCAGTCAAGTAGATACTTTGGTAGCCTGGTGTCCGGCATTCTAGAAACATGTCCAAACCAAATTTCAATAGCTATCATTAAATTAAACTAAACTATATCGTTGAATCAAGAAAAACAAGGTATTATAAAATTTTAACAATCTGAAATGTAAATATCACATTATTTCATGATCACTATCTTGAAGTTGATCTTCGGCTTCTTCTACCTCCACATTTTGTCTTACAACTGGTTGTCTGTCCAACTCGTAGTCGTACCGGACAATGAACGATCCCAACTGCTCTACTAGAGAGATACTTGAATGTCTAAAGTTCAGCTTAAGCTTTATTTCTAGCTCCCCACTTGGTATAGGCGACCTTCGGTGGCTTATGTCAGCTACGATACCTTCTACCATACCACCCATCTCGATAAAGTAGAAGACAAACCGGGATATCTCCCTGCACGAAAACCCATTTGATGAAGATGATATGTGATAATTGTGTCCGTTCAAGTAATGTCCGTCCAAATAAGGACCGATAAGGTATTTGATATCCTGGCAGGAGTCCTTCAAGGGGATACGTTAGCACCATACTTGTTCATTATAGCCCTTGACTATTGCATGAGACAAGCCTTAAGCAAGCACCCTGAAATAGGATTTATCATTAAGGGGGGGGGTTTGGTCCAAATTAGGCCCAATTTAGCCAAATACCCTGAACATGCCCCATATCCATATTTTATGTGCTCTACTTGTAGCTAGTGGTCTCTTGAACTCGTATATGAAATTTCATCAAGATTGGACAAAAAATGACTGAGTAATGAGCCAAAAACCATATGCCCATATTTGGGCATACGCACCAAATTTGGTAGATTTCGTCCCATAAATTGAGCAAATATCAATATTTTTGAATAAAACTTACTTTATATGAAAGGTAAGGCTAAACTACGTATTCTCTGTAATTTATAGCTTTATATCTGTTTAAATGTGGATACTAAGGCGAAAAAACCACAAAAAATGAACTAAATTGCCCGTATCTTGGTTCGCGATATTCGCGGAATTGATCTCATTAAAATTGTAACAACTCAATCAGTTTTCAAAATTATCGCATGAAATTTTCTGAATCGACTCGAAATTGCATTTCGACCTTATTTTGAGAACGGATTTTTGATTTAGGCCTCCAAAAAAATTTGGCGGCCAAATTCTGCATTTTTGTGAGATAATTGGGGCACAAAGTTACTTGAGGCACACTTGGGGCACACTTGGGGCACACTTGGGGCACACTTGGGGCACACTTGGGGCACACTTGGGGCACACTTGGGGCACACTTGGGGCAGATACAGTTGGGGACCAGTTGGGGCACATTTGGGACAAAAATGACTAAGGTAAACAATCTTTTGGTGAAATAATAAGTAACAATGAATACGTAATTTAATTAAAATTACTGCTGGACGTGCCCAGGAGCCCCTCACCATTTATCCATTCGAGAAGGAAGTATTCTTCACAAACGCAAGATATCCCTCTGCAATTTCCTGCACCTCCTCTGGATGTTCTGCAACAGCATCAGTGTCTTGGATGCCGCCCGACTACCATCTTGACTGATAAGTGGAAAGGTTACATAACAGTGCTCTTCCACGGCATGGATTTGTACATCTAGTGGTCAACCATTCGAGAACCAGAACCAGAACCAGAACCAGAACCAGAACCAGAACCAGAACCAGAACCAGAACCAGAACCAGAACCAGAACCAGAACCAGAACCAGAACCAGAACCAGAACCAGAACCAGAACCAGAACCAGAACCAGAACCAGAACCAGAACCAGAACCAGAACCAGAACCAGAACCAGAACCAGAACCAGAACCAGAACCAGAACCAGAACCAGAACCAGAACCAGAACCAGAACCAGAACCAGAACCAGAACCAGAACCAGAACCAGAACCAGAACCAGAACCAGAACAATGCAACATTCTGCAATGTTTGCCCCTAAAATATACAGTATCTGATACTACAGCAGCGAGTTTTCAACGTAAAGCACACAACCACCACCTTTTTTACTTCGTCGGTCTGCTCTAGTCGACTGTTGTACCCATCCATAGCTATTTGAGCGTCACTGATATATGGCTTCAACCATGATTCAATGATGACGACAATAGGGACCGGTGATCTACCTAGGGGGGGGGGGGGGGGGGGGGGGGGGCCAACGCCACAAAAGGCCCCAAAAAGCCCCGATTTCTAGGGCCCTTTTAGGATTTTCGATGCGTCTAGGGCCTTTTGGGGCCCTAGAATTAACTTCAATTTCATCAAGTTTGATATATGCTAAGTGCTTTAATGATATTATCTGACTACTTGCACAGTACTTCTATGTTTATTTGAGTGTATTTACATGGAGATTATGGTCCATAAACACTATCAAATAGTGGTCAGGGTCAAAAGGCCCCAAAAGGCTCCAAAAAGCCCCGATTTCTAGGGCCTTTTTGGATTTTCGATATGTGTAGGGCCTTTTGGGGCCCTAGAATTAACTTCAATTGCATCAAGTTTGATATATGCTAAGTGCTTTAATGATATTATCTGACTACTTGCACAGTACTTTTATGTTTATTTGAGTGTATTTACATGGAGATTATGGTCCATAAAAACTATCAAATAGTGATCAGGGTCAAAAGGCCCCAAAAGGCCTCAAAAAGCCCCGATTTCTAGGCCCCTTTTCGGATTTTCAATGCGTCTAGGGCCTTTTAGGGCGTTGGCCCCCCCTACCCAGTTCCTATACCTTCATATCAAGAATATGGTTTTGAATAAAGGGAAACTTCCATTGTACAGTGCTGGTTGCGGCTGGGGAGATGGACCGAGCATTCAGTAGCAAGATCCTTGATAGTTGGGAATGAAATTTAGTGGCATCCGCATTGGCCGGCTTGGGAATGTTGCTTGGGAACTATTTATTACGAAGATGTTTCTAAACACTAAATGTAAAATTCAATTTTTCAGCCCATCATTTTCACAGTACTACACAGAAATTTTCTTTTGGAATGATCTAAAATGCTGTCTTAGTTTGAGGCTATTTGTCCAAAACATGTTTATCTATCGCAACTTTAGTACAGAATGTAGTCAGTTTCATTATCGATCTGACTGCTACCCGTGAATCGGAGATTTTTTTAACCCTATAAATAATCATCACTTTATAAGTGTTTATTATTGAAATTTGTATCATCATTTAGAGGAGTACTACTGATATTATATATGATAATTTAACGTAATGTCTTGCATCCCCTAATACAGTTCGGGTTTTATATCAGAGAAATATCAGGCCACCTAACTAGCGGGCTGCGCAGGCCCACTGTAGCAAAAAGAGCCTGCTGGTGGATATAACCGAGTCTCGGTAGGGTTTAGTGTCAAATCATTGAACAATTTTAAGTCATATTCGCCATAGTAGCGAGTTTTCAACGTAAAGCACACAACCACCACCTTTTTTACTTCGTCGGTCTGCTCTAGTCGACTGTTGTACCCATCTAGTATAGCTATCTGAGCGTCACTGATATATGACTTCAACCACGATTCAATGATAGCGACAATAGGGACCGGTGATCTACCTAGGGGGGGGGGGGGGGGGGGGGGGCCAACGCCACAAAAGGCCCCAAAAAGCCCCGATTTCTAGGGCCCTTTTAGGATTTTCGATGCGTCTAGGGCCTTTTGGGGCCCTAGAATTAACTTCAATTTCATCAAGTTTGATATATGCTAAGTGCTTTAATGATATTATCTGACTACTTGCACAGTACTTCTATGTTTATTTGAGTGTATTTACATGGAGATTATGGTCCATAAACACTATCAAATAGTGGTCAGGGTCAAAAGGCCCCAAAAGGCTCCAAAAAGCCCCGATTTCTAGGGCCTTTTTGGATTTTCGATATGTGTAGGGCCTTTTGGGGCCCTAGAATTAACTTCAATTGCATCAAGTTTGATATATGCTAAGTGCTTTAATGATATTATCTGACTACTTGCACAGTACTTTTATGTTTATTTGAGTGTATTTACATGGAGATTATGGTCCATAAAAACTATCAAATAGTGATCAGGGTCAAAAGGCCCCAAAAGGCCTCAAAAAGCCCCGATTTCTAGGCCCCTTTTCGGATTTTCAATGCGTCTAGGGCCTTTTAGGGCGTTGGCCCCCCCTACCCAGTTCCTATACCTTCATATCAAGAATATGGTTTTGAATAAAGGGAAACTTCCATTGTACAGTGCTGGTTGCGGCTGGGGAGATGGACCGAGCATTCAGTAGCAAGATCCTTGATAGTTGGGAATGAAATTTAGTGGCATCCGCATTGGCCGGCTTGGGAATGTTGCTTGGGAACTATTTATTACGAAGATGTTTCTAAACACTAAATGTAAAATTCAATTTTTCAGCCCATCATTTTCACAGTACTACACAGAAATTTTCTTTTGGAATGATCTAAAATGCTGTCTTAGTTTGAGGCTATTTGTCCAAAACATGTTTATCTATCGCAACTTTAGTACAGAATGTAGTCAGTTTCATTATCGATCTGACTGCTACCCGTGAATCGGAGATTTTTTTAACCCTATAAATAATCATCACTTTATAAGTGTTTATTATTGAAATTTGTATCATCATTTAGAGGAGTACTACTGATATTATATATGATAATTTAACGTAAGGTCTTGCATCCCCTATAATACCGTTCGGGTTTTATATCAGAGAAATATCAGGTCATCTAAGTCTAACTAGCGGGCTGCACGGGCCCGCTGTAGCAAAAAGAGCTCACGCTGGTGGATATAACCGAGTCTCGGTAGGGTTTAGTGTCAAATCATTGAACAATTTTAAGTCATATTCGCCATATAGTATCAAGCATTGTAACTAGCGCCTAAGCTCGAGGCCGAAGAAAAACACGAAAGTTTTGTTTCAGGGGGTAAGTTATTGTAATAAGTTTTATAATATCATAAGTCATAATATTACAATCTCATTTATCATAATACATGACAGAGTCATAGCAATAAACCTAATATACGCTAAAATAAGGAAGTAAGTCTGTAAGTTATTATTATTGACATATTACAGCATTAGTAAACCGCTCTAAAACGGTAGTTTCTTCAGATCTTTCTGCATATACATCCCAGTATGCTCCTCTGTAGAACCCTGCATAATCTCTATCATATGCTGAGCAGCTTCATCAATAGTGACGTCTCCAGTCCCAAAGTCCTCTCCAGCCGCAGCCCCCATATCAGATTTAACCCAGCCAGGGTGCACTGCCACACACAGAATACCGTCCTGTTTGAACTCGTGGGCGCTCATCTTAGTCATCATGTTCAGTGCACATTTGGCTAGAGCATAAGAGTACACCATGACCGAACCGAATGGTGGGGCTAGTTCGATGCTAGCTGTTATGGAAGAAAAGTTACAAACAAGTCCCCGAGCAGCACACATGGGGAGGCTGCTGTTAGTTGAGGCAGATGCCTTTAAGAGAGGGAAGAAAGAGGTGGTAACCAGGTGGGTGCAAGACACGTCGATGTTGTAGAGATGGTTCAGTTCCTCGGGCGTGGTGTCCACCACCTTTGTGAAGATCTCCGGGCTAGTGATCGCTGCGTTGTTAACCAGCAGGTTCAGTCCTTTACCTCCCAATATTTCGGTAGCCTTAGCAACAGCATTGACAATAGATTCCTTGTCAGTGATGTCCATGGTTAACAGATGGACGTTGTCTCGTTTTCCAAGTTCCTCCAGTTCGGGGCTAGATTTCCTGGAGCAGGATATGAGCTGAGTAGCTTCATTAGAGTTAGCTACGAAGTGCTTTAACATTCCTAGCCCAATACCTCGATTACATCCTGTGATCAACACCGACTTTATTTCGTGTTCTCCTAAAGATTTCATTCTATAATAGCCTGTAAGGGAAATGTTTTAAAAGTTTTACTGTGAACAAAGCTGCACCAATTTCCAGAAGTAATGCAGGTAAATTGATCTTAAAGTTGATTTAAAAATGTATTTTTACCAAAAATGAATGACCTTCATTACATTCACATTACGAATCCACGACTATATAAATTAATAACAGTTAGAATTAATTATTAAAAGTGTGGTAGCCGGTAGGGATACGAGCTTACAAGAGAGAGAGAGAGAGAGAAACTTTAGTGATACTGTAACACAATGTTCTAATGAAACTACAAGACGTACAAAAACAATACAATAAGAAGATATAAGCGATGAACACAAAGTAAGTGAATGTTGTGAATAGAAGGAAGAAGATATTTTATTCTGTCATGGAGGTAGGTTGGGAATATAATCAGTGTAGTTTACGTAAATGAAATTGGTTTTAGCAGAAATCTCTTGGACAAAAGAAAAATATTAGTATCATTGGACCATAGAGGTTAAAACGAATCAGATGCACGCACGAGGAAAATTAAAATCTTAAAAGACAAACTTCAAAAGCGGTAATGGAATGTAGGAGATTGAATTATAGGAGAGGATTGTGACCTACGAACGGTAATTGATGTGGTAATACTAATGGTCGGTGATACGTTGTGGTAACACGAGCTCTCTTCAACCCTGTACAGGTAAAGACAGCTCTCTCAACAACTGAATTAGGAACAACGTTATTGTTAAACTTTGTATCACGTGACAGCGATCTGACCTATAAGAACGATCATGGAACTTAGAAGCTAAACACCTGTAATTCTGCACAACATCTGATACCGAAAACAAATTGTACGTGGAGCTATTAGCTGTAATAGAATACCAGCTCTGAGATACAACTGAAGCTTCCGGACTTATTGTTAATGAGACTATTTCACTATTTCACTATCTGCAGCTCTACAGAAGTATAAATAGACTCGTCCTTAAGGGGGGTGTTCACCCTGATTTTTTTGTGAAACTTGGTTTCGAGATAGCAGTTGACCAACAAACTAGGACCAGTGACCAAACTTTTGAGGGGGTCCCGGACCCCAACCGCCAAACGGTGCCCGCGGGGCAGCCACGCCCATATTTGGTCCAAATCAGGCCCAATTTAGCCAAATACCCTGAACATGCCCAAAACCCAGATTTTAGGTGCTTTACTTGTAGCTAGTGGTCCCCTGAACTCGTATATGAAGTTTCATCAAGATTGGACAAAAAATTACTGAGTTATGAGCTTAAAACTATATGCCCATATTTGGGCATACGCACTAAATTTGATCGATTTTGGCCCATAAATTGGTCAAATATCAATATTTTTGAATGATACTAACTTTATATGAAAGGTAAGCCTACACTACACATTCTCTATGATTATCAGCTCAATATCTACCTAACTGTGGATTCTGTGGTCAAATAATCGCAAAAAATGAACAAAATCGCCCATATCTCAGTTCGCGATATTTGCAAAACTGACTTCGCTCAAAACAATAGAACTCAATAGGGTTTCAATATTTGTTCATGAAATTTTCAGAATCAACGTAGAATTGTCTCATGACCTTAAGTTTTGGGACAGAATTTTGAGTTAGGCCTTTAAAAAAATTTGGCGGCATTTTTCAGAATTTGGCCGCCAAAATCGATCAAATTTAGTGCGTATGCCCAAATATGGGTATATAGTTTTTAGCTCATAACTCAGTCATTTTTTGTCCAATCTTGATGAAACTTCATATACGAGTTCAGGGGACCACTAGCTACAAGTAAAGCACCTAAAATCTGGGTTTTGGGCATGTTCAGGGTATTTGGCTAAATTGGGCCTGATATGGACCAAATATAGGCGTGGCTGCCCCGCGGGCACCGTATGGCGGTTGGGGTCCGGGACCCCCTCAAAAGTTTGGTCACTGGTCCTAGTTTGTTGGTCAACTGCTATCTCGAAACCAAGTTTTACAAAAAAATCAGGGTGAACCCACAATTACCTGTAATGTTAGGCTAGTCATTCGCATAATAAACGTGCCGGTTAGTATCATTATAAAGTTGTGTATACAATTGATGTCTGGGGCAGCCGTTGCAGATATGTGATGTTAAAAGAGTGAGGCAAGAATTACATAGGACTTTCCCCGCAACTATAGAAATCCCACAATAACTACGATAATCATAGTATAGTAGTACTAGTAGTGACAACCATAAATTGTACAATTGCCAAAAAATCTGAGGAATGAAAGTCAACTACTTTATTTTTAGTTTCTATAATTATAAGTATAACCAGAGTTTGATTTCTACGACAGTGGCGTTACGTTGCCTGTTGGCCCCCCCCCCCCCCCCCCCCCCCCCCCGCCGAAAATGCGCCCCTCCTCTTTCATCTTTTGGCGCCCCTCCCTAAAATTGAACAAATTAGGTGATTTTAGAGGATACGCCAGTAAAATCTCTAAAAAAGTGTGTTTCTAGAGCAAAACGTGCAGTTTTGCTAGTACCTCAATTAAGTTTTTCAAAATTGTCCCATATTCAAACGACGATTTTGCGCCCCCCTAAGATGGCGCCCCCCGCACAGCGGGGTCAGCGGGGCCCTTCGTTACGCCACTGTTCTACGATCAAACTACGTAAAGCTAATTGTAGACAAAAGATATTATCCACGGATGGTAAAGCAAAGAACATTCAGCTACAGTAAATATTTTACTTGGAACTGCGGACCAAAGGCAAAATGAAATAGATGTTAAATATGATGGTCCAAAAATAACTGTTTAAGTTGAGAATACGCTGATTAAACTGTAGGAGTAGCAAGAAATAAATACATATAGGTGAAATTATTCGGTCCGACTTTTGTGTGTGATATGGTGGTCCAGAGTCAGGGGATTCACTATTTGTAACAGCTAACATCAAGACACTATTTCACTATTTCACTATTTCACTATTTCACTATTTCACTATTTGTAACGGCTAACAAAAAGACACCAACACGGTATAGTATAAACAATCGAAATTATAAATGTTTAAGAAACATTTAAGTTTAACCAGAAATGTACGAGAAATATCATTTCCTCCACTGTACATTTTTCGGCAGGCTAAATTAGGTTGATATTTACATAGTACATTGAGCAAGCAGCAACACGACACTGAATGACGTTATCAAGCTTATATATAAGTATACATTTCAATTATTATATATTACGAGGCTAGTTGTCTGCGATGGATGGGAAAAATGGCAACATAAAATATTTTGACTCTGTTACATCGCATCCTGTAAATATGAAACTCCTTAAAATAACATAACATAGGTTTACAGGAAATGTGGTAAGCAGATCTTGGTAACTACACCATGCACTGTGGTTACCACAGATCGTGCTTCCTGGACTGCATTTACTGGATATTTTTCTTCTACAAATTTTTCTTCTACAAAAACAATTGTATTGTTTTTGTGTGGGATGGAAAAGAGAGTAAGATTTATTCAGGCGTGACCAGTTTTATTTAGAATTATAACTAGATAATTCCTAAACCACCTGACTTTAACCACTTAAAAGCTTAAAAGCTTAAAGTTAGATCTAAAACCACAATTTTACTGTTGAACATGCGGTACTTTTTTTCATTTCAAACATGATGATCCTACATCTCTGACGCTCAGGTGCAAATAAAAGACTATCAATCTTTTAGATCTGATAGACCAGAGAGAGTAGGAGGAGGTTGCCTCCTCTATGTTCATGACCAGCTAGTGGTGACAGAAACCGATCACTACGAGGATAGAAGCAATAACATGGTCATGTGCTATGTCTTCTTTATTGCATCGACTGCCCGGAGTTCTTTTTTGTTCAGTTTCTCAAGGGTCCCTTCCTGTATGGAGTAACACAGCAGTGAAACCTCCGTTTTCAGTTTAGGGATTAAACTCGAGCTAGGATTCATTTCCTGGAATGCACGTATCCTAGCATTCATCTTCCTTAGTCTTCTTTTCATGACATAAACGTGCTTATTCCCTCTTCTCTTTCTTGAGGTAATCTCCGCTGCACTCTCTTTCTTTGGGGAGAACTCCAAGGTAATCTGGAGCACTGTTAGCTTGAACAATTCCAGAAAAGAGTTCAAGTCCTCGTCACAGAGTTCCCAGAGCTTAAGCCAGTCGACTTTCTGAAGGCAATCACTGATTGCCACAAAATCGGCTTTGTGATAGTCAACTGCCCTGAAAGAGTTTGGGTCGATCTTGCTGGTTTCGTTCTTCTTTCTTCCAGTCATATTAAAACCAAGCTGAATTTCGACCAAGCTGTGGTCTGATAAAGATGTGGGGTTCACCTTTACTTCTGCGACATACCTAGGAACATTTGTAAGTACAAGATCTAGGGTGCTACCTTCTCTTGTCGACTGGTTTACGACCTGTGTTAGAAAGTTACGGTCTATAAACTCTATGCCTATCTCCAACAACGTATATGTCTGGCACCGTTGTATTTTCTGAGATCGCGTCTATTTTGGCTTGCAGTGCCTTTAGAGACCGGTCACAAGTATTCATGCTGACTTTATACAAAAGCATGGTTCGCTCGAAGCTAGAGTACTGCTGTCCAGTCTGGAACCCTACAAAAGTCACAGATATACAAAAGCTGGAGACTGTACAGAGATCCTTTACTAGAAAGATATCTGGCTGCCGTGATCTCCAGTACTGGGACAGGCTGAAGAAGCTTAAGTTGATGTCCCTTCAGAGGCGGAGAGAGCGTTATTCTATTATTCAATATTCATGTATGGAAAATTCTTAATGAACATGCTCCGAACGATACGGGCTTCGAGTTCAAGTCTCATCAAAGGCATGGTATTAAGGCAGAGATCCCAGCCATGAACAAAAACGCACAGTTGTCGGTAAGAACAGATTACGACAACAGCTTTAGAGTTAGAGCAGCTCAGCTCTTCAACGTGCTCCCATCGGAGCTCCGGAGTATCACATTGCTAGACAGTTTCAAAGTTGGTCTAGGCAGATTTATGGAACAGTACCCAGACACACCACCGGTTCCGGGGTACACTCCGACAAACGATAACTCAATGCTGAGCTGGAGGAGGACGCACTCGATGCAGTTGTCCTGAGCACGCCCTGCCAAACTCACCAAAACGTACCAAAAACGTACGTATTATTATAGTTATTAAAACGTTTGTAATAAAGTTAAACTCAGAGATTTCATAGTTATGTAGGTTTCTTAGCTCTCCCTCTTCTCCAATTACATCGAGAGCTCGATATTTAAGTTAAAAATGTGACCGATGAGAGTAAAAATAAGGGGATTATCCAATCTAGTCTTGTTTATTTTTTAATTCTGGGACGATATCATGATATGGGTAGTGTGAGAACTAAACAACAAGCAGGTGAAGGATCCACAACGTACGGGCTGCTAACATGTCCATTAACATGTGTTTTTGAGTACCATTAGACCACTTGTCAGTGACATTACATTAAGAGTGATATGTATTTCGGCTTATACTCAACCTGGAAATCATTCTGTCGTGAGAATACCTTCCAATGGCGATAATGGGGTTGTGTCTGAATATTCGCAGTAGCAGTGTGGAGACAGTCTGGAAGCATTGTGGAGACAGTGTGGATGCAGTGTGGAGTCAGTGTGGAGGCAGTATTAGCGACCTGTAAGACAGACTTGTTTATCACAAACTTGCTAGTAAAATGGAAAACTTAACAGGTTCGTTATGTTATTGTGCTCATGGATTAACAAGTCGAATAACAAATGATAGAAAAAGGTCTGTCATTGTTGCAGTAACGAGGACTATAAATTAACAAACGAAACTTGAACCTGGTCCACCATCAACTGTCACTACTAACTAGTCGCAACAATTACCATTCATCCTTAACGAGATAACCAAGAACAAAAGAATACAGCTAACCATGTACACCAGCTCCAGTATAAATACCACCTCATAACCCCTCTTCATCATCAGTTCACAGTTACTTCCAGTTCAGTGCTACAACCATCATGAGGATCTTACTTCTGCTAACTCTCATCATCTCTCTTGCTTCCAGCATACCTCTGGTTCAGGAGTTCTTCGCTGCGATGGATAAGTACCACGGAATGTCACGAGGTCTCATGTCTGGAGGGTTACCGTCTGGAGGAGACAAGGTGACAGAACGGGAGAGATTCCTGAACTTCAAGCAGTACAAAACGGAGATAGACCGGATAAACGGAGACGACAGTATACCGTACAGTGCGGAGGTGAACATGTTTAGTACTCTGACAGAAGCGGAACGGAGACAGTACACCGGTCTGAATATCTCTAAGTATGCGGAGGAAGAAACAAAGTTGCACCTCTCTGCTGAACCAAACCTTCCAACTAGCTCTCAACCCAAGTATCTCGACTGGGTGTCTAGAGGTGCGAATCCTCCAATGAAGAACCAAGGAAGTTGTGGTAGCTGTTGGGCATTCGGTACGATATCCTCCATCGAGAGTACCTACTTTCTTATGACTGGGGACCTGGTACCGTTTGCCGAGCAAGAACTTCTCGACTGTACCTACGAGACTGATGGCTGCAAAGGAGGATGGTTGAGCCACCCTATTAACTACGTCAAACATGCCCGACGTCTAGCCAGCAGCGAAGACAAAGTTTACAACCAAGAAGACGGCTCCTGCTCCTACTCCAGAGTTGCAAACTCCCTAACTAAAGCTAGAGTTACCGGCTACCAGACCTACAAGGGAGACTCAGGTCTGATCTCAGGTCTGAACAAGGGTGTCGTATCAGTAGCAATCTATGTCGGAAACACCTTCCACGTTTACAAGAACGGCATCTACAAGGATGTCTCGGGATGCCAGAATAAATCACCAAACCACGCAGTCTCAGTAGTTGGATACGGGAATACAGGAGGTGAGAACTACTGGAAAGTGAGGAACAGCTGGGGTGCCCAGTGGGGAGACAAAGGCTACATCAGGATGTCCAGGGACGTGTCCAGCAACTGTGGGATCTCCGAGCACATTTACCGTCCGATCATGCAGTGCACTGGAGATTGCAACCCTCCCCAGTTCGATGAGCAGGAAGAGAAGGAATGCAAGAACCTGAAGAAGGAAACTTACTGCGACAGGTTCTCTGATCACTGCGATAAAGGCAGGTATTACGGTTGGATGACTAAAAATTGTAAAAAGACCTGTGGGATCTGTGAGGGAGCAGATAATAACGATGAAACGAATGATAATAACGGAGGAAAGTGTCCCACTGGCACTGTGAGATGTTCTGACGGAGTCTGCAAGCACGAACACATGTGTCACTATAACAGAGTTTAGAAACTGTCTTAGTACTCTCTCGGTACGATGTTTTCTTTATGTAACTGGGCTTATATTTATAATTTATACGTATGTTTAACTTTGTCGATTGTTTTTCAGGTCTTCTTTCGTTTGCCACGAAGGTTTTGTTTTGTGTTGAGTTGATGTAACACTGTAACAGTATGATATACTGTTTTGTGTATTTGTAAAGCATTTGATAATTATAAACATTAACTCTTGTCGGTTTTGTCAACGTTCTATGCTGTAAATCAACAAAATAACAACAAAGAAAAATAATCAATGTACCCTGGCCCTGAATGTAACTTCCTTCAGTGGGCAAGATTTAGCTTGTCGGACTCTGATTTTAAACTCCAAAGAAGAAGTAAACAAATAGTTTCTCTTAAATAGATTAAATTTTGTAATCAAACAAATACAGGATAAACATTTGAAATTTTATTCGAATCATTTCTCACAGGTGAACTGGATAAGAATTGAATTTTGGAAGAAAGATCAGAACTTTTCCGATATTTCGACATGCTCACACATTATCCAGTATTGCACCACGAAAGATAATTTAAATAGAGATTAAAATCAACACAATAGGCATGGAAAACAAACTTTGAAAAATTTTCTGGATTTATTAAAATTACATTTTTTCAGAATAAAAAGGTCATGTTTTTGAAGTACGTCCCATGCCATATCACTCTTAAATGAGCAATCACCAATTTAAAACAAAAACCAGTTCAATATACTGTTTATCCAAAATATTAGTTAGATAGCACATACAATTCGTAGTATATACTGTAAGTGTATATACACTTCGTTCCCAAAGAATCCAAAGTAAAGCTGACTAGAAACCTCTATTGGTTTTCCTATTTCCTATCTGAAAGTTTCTAGTGCAGTGTGGGCCTGCATCCGTATGCAAATTCAGGTTCATGGTTTATTATTATCAATGTCAATCGGCATTATATTCAATTCACGTGTCGTCAAGAATTAAAGTCGGTTTAAAATCATGTCTAAAAAGAAGTTTAAATGTGATCGTCTCGAAGTCTTATCTTCAAATTCGTAAATATTTCGATCAGATGTGGACTTTGAAACAGATTATGTGTGCAAAAAAGTAGCACAAGTGAATGGCTCAAACATTGTAACCATGCAGCATCATATAAATTATCTAACATAAATTATTTACAAACGTTAAAAGAATTTCTATAAAAGAAGAAGTTTTTAAGAAAATTCTCTATAAAATAAAAGAGAGAGAAAAGTCTTAAAACGATATAATCAAAATGTCATCATCAAACACCGGAATATTTACCACCTCACACATTGTCTTTCTGTCCGGTTTCCAAAACTTTCCGACAAGATCGAAACAAACTCTCAGAAAATAGTCATTACTTTCAACACAGCAACAGCCTAGCAGTTCCCCTAAATGCTGTTAGCCAACTTGGAGTGTCACTCACAGCGTTGTTGTACTGAGTAACAAACAAATAACTTGCCCTTGGCTATCATTTAACTAAATTTCACACGGGAGGTGTGATTGTGGTTGCCATGGTAACGCATGGTCGCCATGGGGACACTCTACAGCGCGTTTAGAGAGTCAATGATCTGTCGGAAGGACGGTCTGTAGTCAGGTAACTCGCTCCAGCAGTGCAACATTATGTTGTATAAGGTCTGTGGACACACTTCCGGCTTGATCAGCCTCGCTCCCTGAAAAGTAGAACAGTTCAGCTTCATTGAACACCTTATTATATGGAGCCACATTTAAGGGTCTTATATAGCACGGAGACCGGAGTCAAACGTCGTGAGATTCAAGAACACACATCCAATCTCACATTCTCAATAAAAAGATCGCCAGTAAAAATATATTAGGTTTAAGAATATTTGTAACTTACAGCTTGAACGTTAGCAGCAACATCCTCGTTGTTCCAGGCTGAGTAGGGGATGACTCCGTAACTGAACACCTCCCACATGGTCACTCCAAAGGCCCACACGTCGTTATTTGTGGTGTACTGACCGTACTGGATGGCTTCTGGGGACATCCATCTGATGGGTACAGTTCCACCGTCCTGAAAGGGAAATGGGGCTGTTAGAAGAGAAAAAGGAGGGGAAAGGAGGGATAATTGTAAGAAGATACACCTATTGCTGAGAGGACATATTATGACAGTTTATGTAGCTTCATAAGTAGTCTATACATGTGGCAATTTTATATTAGTGCAACCCTTGTTGGACTCCCTACGACCTTCTGAACGTTTTTACAGAAAATATGTATCAACTCCCAACAAATATTCGATGAAACCAGGCACGATGTTTCCAGGAAACGAACTTGCACGTGTATTTTAGTACTTATTATTGGTGATATTTAAAGAATTTCTGGTTTAAAATCTTAGAAGTGGGTACGTGCCGTTCGGAATTATGTTCGGGGTTGGAATGTGGAATCGGAAGCTGATGTGCCTCAAAGTCAAAGTGAATCAATAGGAGAGGTGGTAATTTATTTATAAAGAATCTAGTTATTTGCGTATTTTTGAGGAAATATCCGAGGAAATACGCCGTTTTTGCGATTTCCCCGGAAAAATGTAGCATCGACAAGGTGGTTAAATATAATCTTCATACCTTCTGGTATATTTCCCTGCCGTGGACCGATCTGCTGAGACCAAAGTCAGCTACCTTAACTAGGAGGTTACCAGCAACAAGACAGTTCCTCGCTGCAACATCTCTATGTACGAACTCCTTCTCTGCCATGTAGTTCAAACCTGGACAAGGTTAGGATTAGCTATGTAAATAACTAAATAGTCATCAACTAAAAAGATAATCTGGAAATCCATAATGTCACGTCTAAGTCCGATTAAAAAGCAGATTTGGTAAAATTTCTGCTTACCTGAAGCGATCTGAACACATATCTTGATCTGATCTTCTAATGTAAGAGCTCCAGTCTTGCACTGAGCCATGTCTTGGAGGTAATCAGCCAGGTTTCCTTTCTCCATATACTCAGTGAGAATGTAGTAAGGAGGGGAGTCCGTGCACAGACCCACCAGTTTAACAATGTTAGGGTGATGGAGTTGGGTCATCATCAGCATCTCCTTCTCGTACTCTCTGATAGCGTCAGCACTCTGGTCATCCTGGTAGAGGAGGAGTTGAGTTAATGAATAGTCAAGATTGAGGGTCGAATTGAACTGGATAACTTACTGGGGGTGGGTTGAAATATCACGTGTTTATTTTATCATATTATTGTGTTTAGTTGCTTTATTGAACTGAATGTTCACACTTAAAACACTGATATGACATGAAGACTAACCTTGATCTGTTTGATAGCAACGAACTCTGAAGGGGAACCGTCCAGAGTTTTGAGCTCAGCCTTGTACACACTTCCGAACTGTCCCTCGCCCAGGAGAGAGAAGTTTCTCAGCCTAGACTTGGCTATCTGCCAGCTGCCAAACTTTGACAGGGTCTGAAAATAGAGCCTGTCAGTAACAGCCCATTTGGGTGATGTAAAGACGCTTTAAATTGATGAGCTATGATATAACAGTCGAAGTATTTAGCACAGAAGCAGAACGATCTTGGAAGCCTAGGGGCGACTAAGAATGGCTTGAACTAGTCGATACTGACTCGCATCACACGTTTAGTAGCAGCAACTTTAAAGTGGTACTGTAAAACTCACGCTGTAGAGCTGGTTATGAGTCATGTTGGAAGTAGGGGAGTGTGACAGACCGTCTCTAGGACCGTCCTCGTAACCGTTAACATTAGCAGAGAAGACCGGCTGGTTGAGACGCTCCAGAGCCTCGTTACTCTCCATCTTCTTCTTCTTGGCTCGTTTCCTCAGCTGGAGGATTGCTACAAACAGGACGACTAGGAGTACTATGAAACCTAGTGCTGCTACGATCAGGATCAGTGTTCTGTTTCCTTCTGAAATTTTATTGTTTCTTTAATCCGTTCGGTAAAAAATGTAAGTTAAGATAAAATCAGTTTTAAAAACTAGTACTAAGTGTGCGTAATTATATCAGTGCACATCGCGACTTTTAGACTTTTGATGTAATTCCATTATCTAAATTAAGTACCAGTGCTTGGAATTGACTGGTGAATTCAGCTCGAAATATTAGGTTATCACGAAATTATCACAACTTCAAAGGAGGACTCACCACCGGCGATGGTTCTGGTTTTCAGGTTGATGATGTATCTACAAGTGTCAGCACTGTTGAACGTCTCACAAATGTAGTCACCCTGATCTTCCTTGGTAAGACTGTCAGTGATAAGGGTGTTCCCGACCACTATCAGTGAACTGAACAAAAAGAGACCAGTTAGTGTTGTTATTTTAAAGGTTATATTGCTATCATTTTACATTTAAATGAGGAACGGGAGGAAGGAGACATGATAGATCCAGACTCGATAAGTAGTCTTGAGTCGAGATCACAGCTCTGTAGCAATTTGAACCTGTTAATCCAGACAGACGGAGGATTCGGATCACTGGGATTTGAAATATAAAAGATGGTAGTATGGTAGATGAGAACTATAAGTATTCCCAAGTAAACGGACCTGGTTGAGCTATTGTAGATCCAACGTACAGCGGTGCTAGGATGAGCAGACACTGAGAGAGGACAAGCTATCTGGACAGGTTCCTGAATGTTGAAGGTTTTCTCCTGCCGCAACTTGTTGGTCTGGCAAAGCAAGTGGTTCACCAGGATAGTAAACTTAGGGCTGTTGACGGTTCCCAGTTTGTTGCGCAGCTTCAATTGGTATTTAGCCAGGTTATCTGACAGACTAAGGTTATGTATGGTCAGAGAGTAGTTGTATCTCTCGTCAACCTGCACTAGCTTTGTCTCCATTCTACCCGATGAGTTGTCTATAGGCTTGAAGTCTCCACCCTGCACAGATTCCTGCCACGTGACTTTGGGAGCCGGGTCTGCTATGGTTGAGACCTCTACTACTACAGTTGATCCCAGATCCCCGGACACCCTGGCGCTCGACACAATGAAGCTGCTGGGCCTGATTCCTCGCTCTCGGACTGTAAGCTCTCCCATAGGGCTGTTGTAAGGCTGCGGCCAGGGGTGTACGTCGTCTACTTTAACCAAGTTGATGGAGGTGCAGAAATAATCTCCTTCATCCTCAAATGTTGCGTTTTCAATCGTCAGTTCAAATCTGGAGTCATCGAGTCGCAGCTGAAAAAGAGTCGAGATTCAACGTCGTTATTCAGTTCTAAATTTAGAAAGAGCAGTATTCGTGACAGGGTCGAATTGTTACATTCTGCTATTAAAAGTTAAACCTTAAGTTAAAAGAGAACTTTGATGTCGTGAATATCCGAATATAGCATCATGACAAGGAAACGTTGCAACACGCACAAGTTCCTAATCCAGTTTATATTTGACATTTACATCTGATCAGGGGTGATCAAATGAAATGGCTTTAGCTGATTCATCCGCAAGAAGCCTAACTATTACCACAGTACTACATAAAACAAGACACGTCACTATTATTTAATGTTTATTATTGAATTGTTAAGGAGAGGCAGCACACGCCACCACCATCTCTGCTTTTTAACATAGCCGTTAACAGTATTCATTAACAACCTTGCACGTGGGCTGCTTCCAATTTTAACCCCATTTCAATAAACATTAGATCATGCAAAAGTCACTGTTTCATTTATGTCTGATTAGGTTATGACCAAACCTAGTCAGAGAGCGTTAATAGAGCTGAGCTGTACGCTCGAAACCAGACAAAAGTTGGTCAATATACCTTGTATCCGGTAGCGTTCTCAACCATCTCCAATTGATCCCCTGATCTATCTTTGAACATGGTAACTTGAGCTGGAGGATAGCTCTCAGGAATTAAACATGACAGAGTCACCGGGTCTCCTACCACTGCTTGAGTTGAGTCCGGGCCAGTCGCTTCACTTGTATCGAAATCTGGGGTACCATCGGGTAAAAAACAAGAAGGGAGATATCATGTACAAGACTTAAATCAGGATGGACAGATAAGTTGGAAAACTGTGGAGTTGGATTTGGCGAATTTTCTGTAGATTGCATCGGGTTGGTCACAAATAACAATGGAAACCCCCCCCCCCCCCCCCCCCCCCCCCCCCCCCCCCCCCCCCTTGTGGTATACGAAAAGACGCCTTAGAATAAAAAGTTACTTACAGTTAACAGCAACTTCAGAGTGAGAGAAGATGTTATTGTTATCATCTCGCCCAAAGCAAGTGTAAATCCCGCTATCATTTCTGTCTACATCATTGATGACCAGGTCTCCAGAGTCTAATTGGATCCATTTTCCTGATGCCAACTTCACCCTCTCGCCGACTGCTCCTTTGTTGTTGGTCTTTGTTTTGTATTGCCTGGTGGATATCCAGGAATTAGTTAAGGGGAATTTTGATGATCAGAGAGTCGTTGTTCAACGAAAAATTTGATAAATTAATTACACCTTTTATTCGCTCAAACTGAACGAACTCAGCTAGCTGAAAAGAACAAGCGCGCGGCATACTTTATGTTACAGTGAGTGCTGACTTCCAGAATATACTTGAATCGCGCCCAACGCACTTTCCAGAATTGCGGCCCAATGTTAAAGTTGAGTAAGCGAAGACGGTCGCAGCCCTTGACGCGCCTACAACTCTTAAATGTTGCTTACCATCCGTAGGTTTCAGGGATTCTGTTAAACTTGCAAACAAGTGTGACAGTTCTTCCAGTTACAGTTGATACATTCCGGGGCTCTTCCACGAAACTTAAGTTAGCCAGAGAGGCTGAAAAGATAATGATTCAGACTGATAGTTGTCACTTGTCTGACAAGTTTAACATCGGGTGGAAAACAACTGGCACCGCCAGGCTTGAACGATTCAAATAGAACGAGCTCAGCTGCAAAGATGAGAAGCCGACATAAGTTGTTACGTCATAATGTCCAGGGAAACTGTAATCATGATTATATTATGATATCCAACCACATTCAGAAATCAGAAGTCTATTGCACTTCACAAGTACGAAATTACAATAAATTTACAATGTGCTGTTTTGCTGTAAATGGTGATCAAATTTCAGGCATCCAATCAGTTTCGTTCAAAAATAAAATCATGCTACAAACCTACAAGACGTACGAGGGCTGAATAGGGTTTCCCCTTTAATAATGATTCAAAAATTTACATCAATTTTAAAATTAGAGATGCAACCAAATAACATGATTTATAATACAGATTCAATAATCAATTATAAATTAACACCATATTATGAAGCATGGTAGTGTAGTGATGTGGCATATCCAGTAATTGTAAAGTGTAATTTGTAGTGAAGGTAAATGGTGAGCTGTCAAACACCATATCAACGTTAACAGCCGGTTGTAGAGTAGACTCACGACTATTAGTTCCAGTGTTGATGTTTCTACATGTAACCAAACCAAACTGCAGTTCAGTCTCTTGCACTACTTACCTATGTGACAAAATATTGTTGCCGTCATGTGTGAAAATGGGTGAAAAGTATGAAAAGGTGTGAGACAACAGTTGCAAACACAGAATTAGAGGAAGATTTATGGCGGCGCAGTTTGGATCATGCCCATATAACGTAACGTGCAAGATTACTCCCAGTGGTTTCAAAGGGACAATTTTCAAGTTCTTATCTAAATTTGATAACATCGGCCTCTCTCGTATCTGTGAAATTATTACACACCGCTAGCTGTAATAAGTACGTGATACAATTTAATTATATTTTCGCACCAGTGTCGCAGTTTTGACATGCACAATTCTGTTTCTCTGTTCCAAGCTAACGGAACTGTTAGACTTGAACCGGAAGGTTCTAAATCTAGACTGGAGATATTTAATTCCGGCGCTATAAGAAAATTACAGCTGAGGGGTCTTGTAAAAAATAGCATGTTGAACATGAAACAGTCCCTTTATAGGGATTGAAATTATTTGCGTTTTAAACATTTCTAACACCACCCTCCCGGTAGCAAATGATTTGAGCCCTTACGGCAAAGCTGTTGCAAATGTTACGGAAATACTGAATTATAGCGTCTCATAGACGTATTTATTAAGAAACTGTCTGTTGAGCAGATTTTAATGGTTTTCCTCAAAAACGACTTTTAAAAATTTTAATAGATATAGGTCTCCAATTTGATTTCTCAAAAATTTCGTGGAAAATGTTCATATTTACCGTTAACACCAAGAAACGTTTAAATTTGGACAAATGAATTTAATAACATAAATGAATTCGATTAAATGAAAATTTAGATATAATAAACAGGTTACTATGTGATAGTTTTTCGCCCCGTGCTGGTCGAAATTTCTAACTCCAATTAAATCAACGACGCATGACGTCTCGAAGTTACGTAACTTTGAGTGTACACAATCATTAATGAATTTCGGGGCGTTTAAGGAAAACTTACTATTTTTACCGATAAATGTAGCGGTTGAATAGATCAGAGCTTTTTGAAGCTCCTTTGATTGTACTATTTACGATATGTAATGGAGCAGGCCCTAAATACTTTGCTCATTATGCAAATTCTCCAACTTTATCAACATTGCGGCTAATGATCAGCCCGAGTCTAATGTAAACTTAATGATCTTAAATTTTCATACTACAAGCTTTGTAACAAGAATCTAATTTTATGCGACAACAATCTTTATTCATTATAGCCAGGAAAGGTAAAATTATAATTTCGTCACGAAATTTCTAAATTTGGAAAGGCGCCGGCTACTTATATGCATTAAGTAACGTTAATGTTATATAAATAGGCTAAAAGAAGACAACTTTCTATCGTTACACACCTACAGATCCCTTTTTAATTCATCTACTAATGATAATTTCAGTTTCCAGTGAAGAGAGAGAGCCGAACTAACAGTCTTTGTAGATCTGAGACGACTTACGATTTGTTGGTTTTCTAGAGTTCATGATTCACCTGGAAGGTATTTGCAGGACTTACAGGACGGCAGAAATTCTCGTCGAATAAATATGGCGACCAACAAATACTGTGTACAATAGGGTGACTGTCCCCAAAAATTTGTTGGGATTGCGAATTAATGCAACAATAATAATAAGTCTTCGTAAATTCCTGTGCGACTAGCGGTCATTCAACCCGAGTGTTAATTTCATGGTCTTACAGTTTACACCTACTTTTACAGACGATGAATAGACTCACAGCGATTCAGAAACTATGATATTTCACCTTAATTTCCTGGGATATCACGAACCGGAAAAAACCAAATTTCTCACGCTTTCAGGAAAAGATACGATAGGATGATTGAGTGGGCCGCCGTAATGGCACTAAAAACAGAGGTGTTAATGTTTCGGAGAGATGTGAATGTGGGGCCCAACGTCCCATTTTATCACTCTCTTCAACTGAGAGGCACCGCGCAGATAAGGCTTTGGCGGTTCAATTATCGGTTATATTGTGATCAGTCAGCGATCAAAAAGTAATGAGCATAGCAGATAAGAATATAATCAATCTTTGGTTGCAATCAGGCAATAGTAATCTGGTAATAGCAAGTTCGGTTCAACTTTGGAATGTTTCAGCGCTAAAAGTCAGACCGGACCAGTATACATAATATGGTCCAAAACATTCAAAATTCAATCTCAAATCATAAATGTTTTATTTCTTCAGCAGCTAAAAGTTTTAATTCAGTTTAGCTTAATTTGGTTGCAATCAGGCGACAATCATTATAACATATTAATGTGCTTCATTTCATCAGCGTTTAACATTATCAAATTGGTTTCAATCAGGCAAGAGTTACCAATCATAGTGCTATATTTGCAGTCATCAGCATTGATCAAGTCTGAAGCGCTAGGAATCACACAGCGCTAGGAATCACAAAGCGCTAAAAATCACACAGTAAGACGGTAGTGCAGCGTGCTGTCCACTCACACTCAACAGAGACAGTAGTAATAGGAGAGATGACCTCTCCGTTAATGTTAGCGGCAGTGCACCAGTATCTGCCGCTGTCTTCAAATGTCAGGTTCTTCCCACTAAGTCCGTCGGAAGACAGGATCACAAAACGTGGGTTTTTTTCGGAGTCTATTTTAGTACCGTTGTGTGTGAAGTACACGACAGGTTCGGGTGCTCCGGAGGGTTTTGGACACGAGATAACCATCTGGTCTCCCAGAGGTCTCATCAGGGTCTTATTCGTGGAAAAGGCAAACTCGTCGATATCTGAAATATAAGGGTTCTGAACTGATTGTTCCGATATCTGAAATATAGGGGCTCTAAACTCCGGTTCAACCCTATTTTTTCCTGTCTAAAATTGTAACAACTCAACCTGGTGTGGTTGAAACCACACAATCATAGGTTTTACTTTTTCCCAAGATAATGTAATGTTTCAGTGTTGACGTGGCGTACTGAGTGCGTGTTGAACTTGTTCTGCCAGGTCCTGCCCCTGGGTTTTAGGGTTTCGGACACAACGGCTGCAAGATATGCGACACACCCTACAGCAGAGGAGTCAAGGTTCTCTACAGTCGTACAACACGAGGCTCCGGGAGCCCCTAGTCTGCCTACCAGACATTTAACAGGCATCCTCTGTGAGGAGAGAAAAACCGAGCAAAAAGTGGGGAACTTTAAACATGAGTAGTTTAAAGGGGGAGCGTAGTAAAACTGTAAAACTGTAGATCTGGTGAGAGAGGAAGTTGTAAAGTTTTATACTCTACACTGGGGTTCTAATGAGTAACTTATCACATACAAGGCTCTGCCAATCCACAGCTGACTGCGACATAAAGGAGGGAGACATACAGTTTCCTTGACGGTGTTAAAAGGCTTACCCTTACGTTGTGATGAAATATATCATCGGTTACTCATTATAATAACCAAAATATATGACGCCTGAAATTAAATCAGACAATCTACATGAGGAGGAGGGGGAGGAGAGGGACAGAGCTGTCTTTAGGGCGCCCTACATTGCACCTTATCAGTACTGTAAGAGGACATATCCCAATTAAATATGGGTACTAACTCAATGAAGTAATATAAACTTGGTGCTGTTGCGTCGCGTGTCAGGTATCATGTGTCAGAGGAAGGTTTTTGTGGAGATCATGGTCCGTTACTCATGCGTAGAGGGAAGGTAGGTTACTTACTGCTAGTTTAAAGACACCATTGGAAATAATAATATGTAGCTACGTTACAATCTGAAACTGGGCCCTGAGTACCGACAGTAAAAATAAAGGTGAGAATTAAAGGGATGGCGTAATTTTCAGTGGTCTCGGGCGACAAATTCTTCTAACGACACTAAAATATTGTGGTATGAATAATATTTTTGTCTGCTGTGGAACACCATACTCTGGATTCAGGAACAACTCCTACCCAACCAAATTTAGACAGGACCAGCTGAGTACCGTACTTTTACGTCTGCAGGCCATACAATTTCTTTAGCAGCTACCAAATAGGGCATCTCTTGTTGAACCAGCTTATTGCCGCCTAAATAGGGCATCTTATGCAAATAGAGCATTTCATACTGAACCAATGCAACTTACTGCCGCCTAAAGTTCGATTTTATTGAAGATAAAATGGTCCGTAGTTCGAAAGTTCCCTGGAACCCTTTTATCTACATTATTTTTTTTAACAAATGCAGTTAGAACTCCCGTGAAGTCCATTACCAGAATCAGGTACTATTAAAACCAATATTATCGGGTACTACTATTAAATATATCGGGTAGCACTATTAAATCTAGGTTTGCTTTGGCTACTGTCTAGATGACAGTTAGCTATCTCACACCCAGCTGTGTCAACACCAGTATTTACAGCTATTTTACTATTGAGACAGTGGAACTGACCAGGTCTAGACACAGCTTGTGTATCTAGTGAAGTTTACTCTAACTACACAATATGATGGTGTAGACACTGTTTCTATCTGTGTTTCTCTGTCATATGACGCTGTGTAACTGCCAAAATTGTGTGTTTTGACTGCTTGGTAAGTTGGTATATAATTGTGCGTTTCGAATCAAACCAATGAGCTTAACAAGTTCACTCCAACGCCTACCAGTGTTAATTGCAGTGTCAAATATCTTTAAATCAAAGAAGTTCCAAATAAACTTGACCCCCTACTCTTTGTCCGATATCGTCTGGTCACGTGATAGTACTTCAGGAATGTGCTATCAGCCTGTAACCCTGGTAACTCAGTAACTGTAACCCTGGTAACCCTGGTACTTGTTATGAAACTGGCAGTGCCGCGCATTTCATTGTCATGATTCATGAAGATGAGAGCTGTGTCACGTGGCTAAGGAAAGCCGGGTCAAGTTATTGACACATGTGGTCCCTCTGCACGTCCTGCCTTCAAACTATGCACAGTTCTAACACCCCCCTTAGTCGGATCTCACAGGAGATTCTTTGAATATCACACCAGATTCTTTGAATATTTATAGGACTCCTTTTCTTTTAATTCCATAACAAAGTCAAGGACATAGTTTAGATCTCTGTGGAGAGAGAGAGGCTTCTTCAAAACTCTTTCCAGTTGTGATAAGGGTAACGGCGATTATGCAAATACTGCACTTGTCTGAGATCCCTATAAAGGGTCTCCTCAGGAGAGAAGAACAGAGAGAGGGGGTGAGAGATTAAGCTAATGTGACAAAACATGAATATTAAACATTCCTGACGATTACCTTTTTGAGTCAATGGGGGTCAATGATGCTGGTGCCCATGTTTTAAAACACAAGCCCTAACAAGCATGTGTACAATGGTTAATGTGCTTAATTGGCCATAAAATCAGGCTTCAATTTAAAGGTACTAGTGATTAGCGAGTAATTACACTAATTAGCTTCCAAGTCTCCACTCAGTGCACCTCATTAATCATAACATTGGGCCCCTCCCGCGTGAAAATCTGTCAACTTCGAGCCAGCACTATTTGTTACTATCTCATGAATAAATATGACCAGTAAGTTGTGGGAGAGCTGCAGGAGAAGGAGCTAGACCTTGAAAACTTGATGTTTTGCCAAATAGTGAGAGATTACAACCTAGACCATGTCTCCTATCAGCAATGTGACACACAGATCCCTATCCAAGATGTAAGAGCAGATCCCAAGAAGATACAGTAACATTGCACACTCTCAGGGAATGTTTTAAACTTGGGATCAAACTTTCACTCGGATAGTGTGCTGATTTACATTGTATCGGTATAGAACTACTGACCGTACAAACTTTAACAATGCGGTACCTCTAAATGTCCATAAATTGTACAGTTCAGGAATGATTCATGTTTGTGATGCAAATAATGACCAGCTGATGATTGATTGGGGAGTTCCGACCGAAGTCTGACGCAAAGATTACAGAAGGGATCGCATTTAGAGTGTCAAAGCCAATCAAGTTTTTAAGACTCGACCTAACTTTAGACCGTTTCTTTGACTGATGAGGACACAATCAGGCAATACTGTTCAATCGATATCTTATCAGCGCATTTTAACCCCCTCGATAGTTTTACCTCTTCTTACACACGCTTCTCCTTCTCCTCCTCTGATTGAGACAAGGGCAGGTCCTGAGAAGCTAGACAAGTATAAACCGTGCTGGCTTGAAGCAAGATAAGTAGTGGCCGGTGTTTAACGAGATAGAGGAGTGAGAAGTTATCTTTTCTCAGAGCGTGCTTCTTCTCCTCCTCCTCCTCCTTTACCGGCTTCTGATATCACGTGACTTCTTCACACTTCTACTTTCTACTTTGTACTGATTCGTTCCCAACCTTGGCTGGGAGGTTTGTTGAACATGGGGACTAGAAACAGATCTGACCACCGGCCCCAGGCCACAGTCGGATATGGCAGTACACACACGTGCGCAACTAGAGTTTTCTCAACTTGGCTCGTTCATGTGTTGCTTGTCAGTGCGTTTTTGCCCACACCAAGTTATTGCACACTTATTTTTAGAACGCACTGATTTCTCCAACTGTGTAACCCAACACGGCTGACAGTTAGAATACATGGGATTTGAGGGTCTTATCTCTGTTAAATAATGACATTCTGATGCTCGTATACAGAGGTGACCAGCCACTCAAACCTCTCCGATCGACAAGTTGTGAGACACGTGGCTGACACGTGATCTTATTATACTCTATAAACCACGACCCGTGTATACTGATAAGAGACGGCTTGGGAATTTAGCTTACATATGTTCAGAGAGTCCCCTCGTAATGAAATCTCAGATCTCAAAAAGGAGAAGAAATCTAATTTGCGGATTTTAAGGGTTTGAAAAGATAGCCGAGTTTAGAGTCGGTTATGACTATTATAAGTGTGTTTAGAGAATTAGAGTATGTTTAGAGTGAGAGGGTGGTTTGGAGATCAGGGAATGTAACCAGAACCCTTACCCTCCTGTTATAGTGCTAATCACAAACCTGACCCTCCCCATATAATAGTGTATTGATAAAATCTACTCTAATTTTACATGAATTAGCAGCGGCTGAAGGGCCGACTTAACAGAGCTAGTTTCAGTAGGAGGACACTGGGGCAGGCTGGAACGCCTAACCTGGACTCCAATTTGTTACTGGGGCTAATTTGTTATTCACAAGTGTAGGGTCCCGTTTAGAAGGTATTCAGACTCTTTTGTTCACACTTGTCCTACACAATCTGATCGGTGCTGGATCGTTCTGACAGCGGGACCTTCGAGACTGTTTACTAAACGTCATCAGCTAATCTGTAAATATCTCTGGCCCGGAATGGATAAAAGTGACAAGCGGTGCCCGGACCTTATTTGGTATTATCCAGGATGAAGTAAACTCTGAAGAGAAAGAGAGGGCACAGGAATAGATCGCGATACCATGATGACAGATCCACCCAACTTACAGGAGAATTAATAGCGCGGATTAAATCTCGATTTGAGTGATGAAAGTTGTAGGAGTTTGTAACCGAGGGTTGAACGGGTCACGTGGGCACTGGGTCACGTGGGTGCTGGAGTCGTCGGCCCCAGAATACATCCTGACCTTTACAGAGCTCACTACAGCGATACCGCGGACTGCTAATATATCCTTGATCAAACTCTAGAACAGCGCACTTGTTGGCAAACACTGCACTTGTACTAGTAGACTAAGGTTACTTCCCAGGAACATCACTTACCCAGACAAAAACCCAATGTAAGTGTTGACTTATCCCCCCTTTCTCCAGCACACAATAGTTTAATACCACTACTTTACCCTTCTATACCGCTCTGACTTTTAAAACTAACGGGGTTTTACTTTATAACATACTGATCAAAGAGGCCAGTAGTTTAGATCAAACACTGCACTTGTACTACTGTTGGACTAAGAACAGTGCACAAATCAGAGCAAAGGTTACTCCTCTACAACTTCATCTTCTCAGACAAAACCAATGTGTTATACCCGCATAGTATCCTTTCATTATCATAGGAATCCTGAATAGTTCCAACCGATCAACCAGTCTTGTAAACGATGAGCACAGCGAGCAGTACAGCGTATCAGTGCTAGCTCTATACTAGTTCTGCACTAACTCTAGTCTGTATGAAGTTAGAAGTTCCCTTCTTCTCATAGCACGTCCTATCCGTCCGAGGGTACATTAAACTTATCCCGCCATTCAATATCCAGTACTGGAGGACTAACAACCTAGTTTCAAGGTCTGGTTAATGTAGGAGGAAGTAGTAATGAAGTACTGAAGCAATGAACCTGGTGAATAATACCACACCTCTCTTGCTAGCGTGAAGACTAGAAGTGCAGTTGCGGTACTGCATCCCTGATTCCCTGAATTCCTATCTATATCACACCATTGTCTATTTCTCACATGTGCCATTCCACTTCAGTACAACTGTCGAGCAGCACGGCTCACACAATCATGTTCAGTCATTATTTGCCCTGTTTAACCTGATTTTAGGGGAGGTAAACTGATTTCAAAGCCATCTGCGGAACAGGGTCGGATAAGGACCGAGCGGAACATAAGTCAATTTGGGGCGGTTCTTGGTTTTTATTATATGTCTGGGGGAGCTTATCATTTTATCAAAGTACCAAATACCAAAACAGTGAGTCACATGACACCTCATAGTGCCAGGAACATAAGCTCATCCCCCTGATCAGATCAGTCAGGAACCAGGATACAAGTAGAAAAGAGGGGAGATATGACGTATCAGGATGAGAAACCTTAGTTGCCTACTGCTCGGAGCAAACCCCACACACACACACACACCGCTACATGCAGTGAGGCGGTATTAACAAAGAACAGGGTTGTTTAAACACGTCAGTTAATTCATCTTACAAGGAAGTTCCCAGTGTTCCTTGTACTGTTTCACTGACAAATCATCTCACTTCATATCCTGTTTAGAGCTATGTTTCTCAGCAGCCCGTGCAGCCATGAGCCAACTTGTTAGTAAGTTAGCAACGACTTGTTAGTAACTTAGCAACTTCTTAACTAGCCTGTTCTGTGACCAGGGAACTTCTATAAAAGGAGATTTGTCAAAACGTCCCATGTTTCTCCAGTATAGGACCTGACATGTGACTTGGAAACGTCAAACAGTTGCTGTTTAACTTTTCTTAAGGTAAAACCTTATAATTGTTTTAAAAAGTGGATAATTCTAATTGAAGTAGGTATTCTTATATCTTTATTGCATGTCGCAGTCGTACATTCAACGGATATAATCAAAAGACGGTTAATCCTGACTGGTGACTAGTAAAATGTTACCCTGGTTAGTATATTGACTACAGTACAATAATTACTTTTATGTAACATAACTCTCAATTATGGGAGAGCAATTCATTTGTTTGGCTCGTGACAAGTTATCATCTTACAATATAATGGTCCGTGAGACTAAGGAAGTACAGAAGATAACTCATGGGAGATTGTAACATTTTCAAATTGAAACATTACCGCCTCTGACCTCTGTACTTAATCATTACGAGGCAATTGGTGCGAGGGAATTTTCAGTTACGTCCGGGCACACTAGATGTCAGAAACTGGAAAGATAAGAGGAAGATGACGTAGAGTTGATAACAGTTTGGCAGCCGTTTAAAATACAGCCCCGGATATACTAGTAGTAGCAGGGTTGTAGGCTCTCAGAACACTTGGTAAGCAGCTAACCGACCAAGTAAGTAGGTGTCGTGTTAAAACAGTTTGCACTGTCCGCAGAATCACAGCTATCACACAATACTACACTCTCCCGAGTGTGGTACACTCTCTTAGGTACACCACACTCCCTTGGTTGTGGTACACCACACTCTCTTGGTTGTGGTACACCGCACTCCCTCGCGTCAACAGCCTTACTGTGCACCTAGTTACACTACTTCTTTCTAAATAGTCTGGGAAAAAGTAACAAATGTGTGGGGAAATGGTGCTTACTCAATACCCTCCTCAGCTCTGTAGTGAGCTTGTCTGTAATTAGCGGCCCTGTGTTTCTACATTTACAGACGAGAGAGGAGAGAAGAGGAGAGAGGAACATGTTACTAGATAATATACGGGGTTTAGGAACTGATTAATTACTGTCATGTCAACATGTAGATGTATCTACACGCTTATGTACAGGGTGACCCACCATGTGATCATGTGATGTTTGGTGCCACTTTCATCTCTTGTCTGGTGACAGGTACACACATTTTACATATTCGTTACCATGGTTAATGGTTATAAGGGTTACCATGGCAACCTAGACTGTTACAAAGATAATACACACTGTTACCATGGTTATATAGATTGTTACCGTATGCATAGCAATATACACTGTTACTGTGGCGATATACACCAGGGGCGTAGCCAGGGGGCATAGCCAGGATTGTTTACAGGGATAGAGGGATTTAGGGAAAAGATGTATCCGCATTCTAACAATGTAAAATGAGAATTTTAGCAGGGGCGTAGACCCGGAAATTTTGAAAAATAGACTTACATAGTAAGAATAAAAGGAATGGTATTTGTAGCAGATTGTAATGCCAATTTGGGGGCAGCTTCGGAAGCCCCGACACGATTTTTGGCAAAGATTCTGGAATGAAATATAACAATTCTAACAGGTTGTATAGATGCCAAAGTGGGAGAAGGATAAGAATATCCTGGGAAATGTTTTGGGGAACTCCCAATTTTTATCTTTGATTTCTTAGAAACCCTCTTGGCTACGTATAGTACCTGATTTTTACTTTGGTATTAATATAAACCATGGCTATGGTAGAAATATATCTTCTAACCATGGTATAAAACAGACGCTTTCTATATCCCTCTTGGAGATATTATAACTCTCTCCAGATCTGATAATGCACAAAAATAAACATTATTAAAGGTGTGTTTTAACAGGGACCAACATTGTCTAACTCCTGCATATCCCGACACTTAGCCTAGTTGCCTTCACGTCAATCTGGTAGGAATGCCGGGAATTTGTTAACAAGCTTGGGGCACGACAAGAATTTACTTACAAGAAAGGGTCATAGCTTGAGCAGTTGAGAAGGACTCGTACCGGTCGTTCTCGGTGGTCCTGCACGCAAACTCGCGCTCGGCCAGCTCCGGTGTGCACGCCTCTGGGGAGAAGATTAGGGTCTTGTTGCCTGGATCGTAGATCCCCGTGCTAGGGTCACTGCTGACAGCCACAAACCTGGAAATAGTGTGTTGTTAGAGTTACCTTCTAAAGAGTGTAATGGTAGAGGCAGTCTCTAAATCAGATGTCAGAGATCTGATGAACATGAGAGCCGCTGTAATTCAACTAACGTCAGAACTGTAACTGTTAAAGAGAAGGAACTGCATGAGGAGTAACAACCCCTGGTACCCTTCCTTACCTACCTAGATACAACATCACAATTTACTAGAAACTTCTTACTGTCCATGGTAATCAGGGTATACTAGCTTTCTAAGAGCTTCTCTTGATCATGGATATGTCAATCAAATTATTAAAACAGTCAAAGAGATAAAGTCGGAGGCTTCTCTGTACGTTTGGCTAGAATAGTTTCTCTGTACAGGAAGAGTTAAAGTTTAATGTTTTCAACTTGTCAAATTTCAGCTGAATTAAGCTGGATCTGAGATCACTAACAAATTACAGCCTCAGCTCAGGTTATTTTTAATTTATATGTATATTTTTAATTTTTGACGTGACAGGTTTTTAATACAATTCCCAATCTCTTACTCGAAGCCAACTTAATGCAACAACAGCTGCAGAAATTACGAGTAACTACTGAAGCGAAAATGTTCATTATCTAACTCATGAAAATGTTCATTATCTAACTCATGATCCTGAAAAGCCCGCATGTACACCTTAGGAAACACTAGCTAAGATCAGTAACATTACTCTCTACGCTAGATGCAGTTTGGACTAGTGACTACTCCGAGTGTTTCAACTTGCTAGTCTTACTTCTACTTCTGTGTGAGGGGTTTTAGTAACTTAGTACACATTTAACATGCTCTAACATTGTAGATAACGCTCTAGTGAAAGATTAGAAGTTGGTGAATAATAATATCACTGAAATGTTCAGATAATGTCTGGGCGTGTTTCATGTTAATGATGATTATTTTTTAAACAGTAACAGCCGATGCAACGTTTGCACAAGTGATAACTTATGGAATTTAAAACCAATCTAGTTTATAGTTTCTATCAAACTTTCGACCGGTCGATTACTTCCGACAAACAAACATGCGGCAGACAATTCTTCTTGTTCTATTTTAAATAGATGATAATGTGTTCTCATCCACCATATTCAAATCTTTCCACTATTAAAAATACCGCTCATATAATATCCAACATATACGTCACTGGAATCAGCAAATCGGATCACTGCAGCTACAATCTGCTTACTTTATAATTGGAGAACAGTTAGCTACCATTGACACAAAGTTAGTGACCTATCTAAATCTACTAAAATGGCGTATCGTTAATTGCAGGAATGCACACTATTTTTATTATATTCCTCACACTAAAATTCGTGATATTTCCATTATATATATCCCCCGCTGAATTAGTATTGACTCAAGAGCATGATATATTTCACAGCTATTTAACCAATTAGATAAAAGTGGGAAACGTCGTGCTAGATTCCTAGAAGGTCTATTGGTGATAGGGAGGTTGCATTACTGTGAGCAAGGTTGAGAGTGTAAATAGTAAAATTAACGTTACAATTTGATTGAAGGGAACGGCTCAGTAATTAAGACGGTATGGCAGGCCAGGAGGGTTTGTTAACTACATGTTTCCTTATACTGCATGGCACTAGTAGCTAGTAGTTCTAGTAACTAAAGCCTTGCCTGAATCTATAATTATATACTACAGGTTGAAATATGTACTGGTTATATTATTGATGGCTGCTATCAGTGGGGAGTCCTGATAAAATCTTGAATAATTAACATATTATAATTAATTGCGGTGAGTATCGTTATCATTCATGTCATGATATGCGTATTCTTGCATAATATGTAAATTGCAAATCCATACAAAGTACAGACAACAATTAATGATAGAATACAAATTTATTATAGGACCATTCTAATTCGTGATATACAACCCTTGGTAAAGATTAGAACTTTAATTCTTTCTAAAAACCAGGAAGATACCTAACCTATGGTTTAACAACTGCTCTTTCAAAATATTATATTATCAATATCAATGAATATTATAATCTTTATCGTGATACATATTATAATCATGATCAGACGAATAACTGACTACTCAAGTTATTTGAAAGTGTCTGAAACAATAACCCCTCCCACAAATTACATGTTACCAGAACCCCCCTCCAGATCATTGTGATCGTGTAATATTAAAGAGCACAATGGCTGCAGCACACAAACACCGGTAATATGTAAACGAGGTGTTATCAGAGAATATCTAACGTGGCTGCTTTATCAGCCTCAATAGAGTAATGACGGGCAGGTGCATGGTAACTGTAAAAATGTTCTTTTACCCGCCTGGGATACAGTATACAGTGTATTTGGCGTGTTTCTAGTTTTGTCTTAATCGGCAATACAGGGGAATAAAAAAGTGTTTTTTTTAACTGGCAGTTCTTAATAATAATCTTAGTTTTATTTCAATCTGTCCTGTCTGGGATATAACCACATAATACACATTGTTGAGTACGCTGCATTCAGATGCAGACATTATTTAAAGTGAAATGCATTTAAATATCTACTGTTCAGTCAATTAATTTAATCAATATCATATCTGAACAGACTCATTGAGTATCGCATTGTTTTGTTTTAAAATATCCCCAAATGTCTAGATGAAGGCCTTTTATAGGATCAAAAGAGATCCTGAAAATTATGTTATTAACGACCATGTATAATCATTTGAGTACACGGTTGTCATTGAATTTCAGTCTGACTGTGAGTCAGTAGTATTTAAAAGTTTGGTAAGATGTCATAATGAAATGTGGTGAAGCACTTGAAATTTTGAACTTTTCAGTCTGAGTGTAAGAATTTTAGTTGTTCTTTGTTGTATTTAAACCAGACATTTTCTAATTAAAGTCTAAAAAGTTTGTGATTCTCTCACAATTCAGTTTTAACTACAACCGTGTACAGGGTGTACCATAGAAAGTGTGACTTTTTTGAGAAATGATACAAAATATTATGAAGGAGCAGTTGCTAAAAACTCTTCATCACATTGTGTCACTAGGTGTCGAATTTATGCATACCAAATTTCAAGTCCCCATCAATTTTTGATTTCTCACAAATTGCTATTTTGTTATGGTGCTAATTTAGGAACTTAAGCTTGCTGTAATTTAGGGGTCTCAAGAAAAAAATTTTCGAAATCAATATTTTAGCTATTTTTGACAGTAAAGAGTAATGTCTATCATCTGCTTTTGTTCCTATCAAAAAAATTTAGTTAAAAATAACTATGAAGTTTGATTTTGTGAAAAAATTACAGAAGTGGAAAAAAGTCACACTTTCTACGGTACACCCTGTATATACAAGAACAATAACTGTGAAAATACTGACGTGTTCTTTTTTCTCTCGACCCAAGTAACAGGTAGAATCTTCTCCGACTGGTCGGATTGCTTTAACGTAGCATTACACTCAACCCTCAGTCCTGGAAATTAATTTAATTAATTAAATTTAACACTCACTTTTATATTACAATTTTATATTAAAATCAACTCTGTTTAAAATTTTACTCTTTCCTCATTTCTAAGCTAAAACAGTTTTCTTTAATCCACTTCGTTTCCCATAGAAATTAACAAATTTGATAAAATCACAGATTAAATTATGTTAAACGGTAAATAGGGTTAAAAATGGAGGTATTTACCTCCGTTGATTTGATAGAACAAGATATCTGCTGCGGTCTCTGCTTGTGCAACATATTCTGATTTAAAACCGTAATATGATTCATAAAATGGAGTTATTTTGAACTGTGCTGTACTCCCAAAACACACTTTATCTGAAATTTAATGTTAAGTTAAAATCTGAATTACACGATTTGAAATGTTCATGACTATCTCTTAAACGTGAAATTTGTAAGAGATCGGTAACTACTTTTAATCGAATGCTGTAAATTCGCACTGTAATCTGTATCCATGGAACCATAAAAGTTTCAGTCAATAAATCAACAACTTACTAAGTAATAAGAAAAGTCCTGTAAACACCACTCTAAACCGCAACATTTTTAAGTCTCTAACCATAACCTATCAATCTGGAAAGGAAAAGGTTGGGGGATTAGTTCAATTTGTAATCATGGAAGATCAGGGACAAAAGGATTTCGCGGCATGTACGAAATCGCGAAATTTCCCATTCTCCGCGACAAATTTTATGTATAGTTTAATGTATAGCCTGTTAAATTTCGCGGTATCGCGAAATTTTGCCAAAATAATCGCGAAATCCTTTTGTCCCTGTGGAAGATTGCTAGTAATATTATGTAGTTATCATTGAGTCTCGTTAAATATGTTGCCTTAAATATGTTGCCTTGCTACAAGGCAGAGTATTACTCAACTAATCATTAGTTGACTTCAATCCCCGCCCAACTGAGAACAAACACCAAGCCTAACCGTTATAATTAGGAGGTAATTTCGGTTATTTATTGTAGCTACAGATCATGTACACCAACATGAATATCGACTTCTCTTGGGCGAATCATGGACAGGATGGCTGGCAAAATGATAGTTCCTTCACTGCCATACTATGGCATCTGTGAACTAATTATGTTTTCTAATTTCAGATTATACATGTGGCTCCATCAATTCATTCGCAAATCGAGGAACAAGTTGATTTGAGATTGTAAAAGTACTACTATCAATTCGTTCGCAATAAAAAATACTGAAAGATTCAAAAGACAACGGATTTGATGACCATATATGATGAGCTGGGCACGTTCTTGACTTCAAAATATGGTAATGCCCAAATTTCCAATTGGCACCACAGAATAGACAAAAACAGCTCAGGTGACAAAAAAAAAGACAGAAAGCACAAAAATTTGACACCACATGGTAGTGAACCTTTCCATAGCGACAAAGGAAAAGAAAGAGCAGGATGACGGCCATAAAACACTGAAAAATAACAGAGATAAAATAAGCTGGTTGGTGTTAAAATAGAACGGAGAGAGAAATGATATTGTGCATTGTGCACAACTTGTAATTTAAAATGGGTCATTTTGTCAAAATGGACCCTTCAAACAATAGTAGCCTCTAGTTGCAGGTGCAGGAGGAGCTTTAGACACAGCTCATTTTTCAGTATGGAGGGAGAACAACTATCTGACTAAACATTCAGACCAAAGTGACAAGGGTGCGATTCCAAAGAAACCAGCTAAATAAATGAACTCTTAATTTGATGAGGGTGTTCAATAAAATGAGTGAACGGGAAAAATGTCATACGTCAAACTTTCGTGCATGTTGCAAAATTTTTCAGAAACGTTAGCACACTACCTTATCTGATCAAAAGAGTCAATGAGGTACAAATACAAAGAACTGCAAAGAACTGAATTACAGGGCCATTGTACTCTACAGCAATCGAGATTTTATGATGACAAGAATAAGGCAAGATTATTTCAAAATCATTACTTTGAAATAGATTGGGAATTTTTAGCACTACTCAAGGAGAAGCAACCCAAATTATTTGAGTGAAAGGCAGAAATCCTTAACCTTTCCGAGATCATATTGTTATGTATTCAGTTTACAATAGTTCACTCTTAGATGCATCTTGCTTCTTGAGTAGAACAAGCTAAAAGTGGAACAGGCTAAATCTTATTACCTTCGAGCCTTTTTTTAACAATAGAACAATATACACATAATATAGCAATGGCCAATTGGCTGACTATAAGGTCATGGCCTGAACAAACAATTTTTTTTAAATAGTCAAGTGATGCTAAAGCAGAGCACAAATGTGTAATAAGTTAATAGATAAAAATACTGATTCAATGATTAAAATTATAGCTGTGAGTGTCAATAAATTACTGTGTCATAAAAAAAGGAACGATGTACACGTGATCTGAGATACCAATATCTCAATATCGAAAGGATAGTGTCTAGAAACATTCATAGTCCATGGTGGCAGGTATCAAGTTAAACGAAGTTACACTGACTGGCAATGTATACGATTGCCGTCTCCCTCTCTCACCCCTGACCTTCGAGCCTCGAAATATTGGGCCTCCTTGGGGAAAAGAAAAGTTCACAGTATAAAAAACCGATAGAGAAACGTTTGCATGATCCCATCCTCAGTATCTGCAACTGTCTCGAATGATCCGTCAAGAAAAGAAGAGTCTCGGTATATCGAGGTACCCGTTATATCTCTTTTGTCATAGACGTCTGAATGGTCTGCACTATGAAATACGAATAACAGAGCAGACCATTTTAATAGCGTATGCTGTGGATGGAATTCTATGTCTCACAGAATTGTGCTAAAACATTATGAAGGATTCAGTTTTACCTAAAACAATTTGTCCAATTTGAATAAAAATGGAACTGAAATTGACTGAAGTTATAAAAGATTAATACACAGGCAATATATTGCACGATTGACTGTTAGTCGAAGTGCTGACTGCAAAATAATTCAATGTAGTTTTACTAATAAAGCTGGAGAAAGAACTTAAAGAATCGTGACCAAAATTGCTGCAAAAGTAACTGCATACAAAATGATTTGACTTTCCAGCTCTCTACAACGTGGTTAATACGTTTGAGCGAAAAACAAAAAAGTAAGCAATGAAGTTCGGAGTTGATCGATCACAATGAAAAATTACAAGCTCATAGTTAAAATAACACGATGAAATCATAGTTAATTTTTATTAATTAAAGTGCTTACTAAATAATTAATTTTGTTTTTAATTGCATTTAATGAGCAATTAATTGAAGATCAATATAAAATGTCTCAAAGACTATTGATCCTGATTACAATGGCAACAAAGGAAAACAAAATTTAAGTAAAACAAAAGGAATAATGATATCATAATTAATAGACATTTATAAGTAGACATCCGATAATAAACTTGTTAGGTCTTCTGCAGTTGATTTACGATGTCAATCCTTCACAGCTCGGCGAAGCCCAGTGAAGCATCTCACCGACGTATTATTGGATGCGCGGCGCGGCCCAGTAGTGCATCGCGCTACAAGGTCTGCAGTACAACCCTTGTAGGTTTACAACCTACCAGGACGCGCGCCGAGTTGGACTCGTCGACGGTCCAATATATGGAACAGATATTTTACGAGTATCACCCGTTAATACAACCCAAGATGCCGCCTGACTAACAAAATAAAAAGAGCTAGCATGTTCATAGTCCTTCAAACGCGCATACTTAGGCTGTACGGAAATAATTGATACATGTTTCGTATCCCAATAGATCAGATCGCGCGCGAAAAGTGGCATGCAACGTATGTCAAGGAAATAACTGTAATTCTACGTCATATTAAAAACTCAACATCATATTTGAAATAAAAAATAAATTTTATCAAATTTAAAAAATATATGAACAGTCAGAACTGATTGGAAGAACACAGTATGTTAAAATAATTTATTTTTATTTCTTTAGCTGCTTAGGCGCGGCACCGCGCTTGACCCACATGCTATCCAGCCAACAGCGTACTTGCTCTAACCAGAGCCCTCTCACTTGCAGTAGCGCGCGACCGCCGAAGGCGGCAAAGGAAACTTGTGAAACAAGCGCGTCACGCAGTACGCGTATACACATGGCTATGTGAAACAGCGTACTGTAGCAACACAGCGCCGAAAATGGAAAAGCTAGTGGTGCACCGCGCTTAGACCATGACCATAAACTCTAAATATTGTTATGATTAACAAGATTTTGCGACATAATTAATCAAAATATCTACGGTACCATGATTTTAACTGTCCCATCATAATTATATATAATTCCTTATTTGTCATACGTTGTATGACCCGCCGCGCACGAGTGCGCGGCTCCCCTGTATCGTCGAAACTCTACAGTGAAGCGACTGTGGGGGTCACCACGTGATACAATTCCTTATTAGAGGCCTTCGCCGCTTCGACATGACGCCGCGCAAATTAATGTGCTATCTTTGTTTCAATTGTCATGTAACAATTTTGAGACAGTGATAAAACAAAAATTTTGTAAAACATATAATAATAAGCAATCCTTGCTTATTATCCATTTATCAATTACGGAATAAGTGTTTGGGCTCAGCGCTCAAAGACCAACCAAACGATAAGCTATTCATAATTAACTCAGAAACGTTGTATAAAAATTCTTTGAGAGCTCAATGCATACCTCGACAAACATGCCACTTGTGCACGAACCAGACCTTATACAAAACAGAGGCTAGGAGCTGCTTTTTTCGAAAAAGAGCACACCAAGCCCATTTTAATCGACTAAAATTGCTTACTTTTTTCGTGCAGCATCCTCTCAATCCTCTCAATCATCTGGTGGTAAGAAATGTGGTAAGAAATGTGGAACTTATTCCTTGATTCACGATGTCAATCCTTCGCAGCTCGGTGAGGCCGTTCCTACTAAATCGCTCGCCCAAATTTTAAGAAAATTCTTGTGAAAAGGCCTTTTAGGCAAAGTGATCTGGATCGGTGTATTTTTGGAAACTATTTATTGTGGCTCTTACTAATTCGCTCGCCCAAAAATTTCACGTGACTTTGGTTTTTATGGTTTTGCAGCCGTACAAAACGGAATATTTACATAAACCCTAATCCCAACCCTAACCCTAACCATAACCCCGGAGCTAACCATAACCCTTACCACAACCCTAACCCTAACCCGAGCCCTAAACAATCGAATTCATGGTTTACTAGCCTGTCACGTGACCAAAACGGTTTTTTGCCCATAACTCTCCGTGAAAGCATTTTTACCCTACGTACCATGTGGGGTGATTCGGAATCAGCGTCCTAAAATACACCGATTTAGATCAATTTCACAACCAAAGGGCCTTTTCACAAGAATTTTCTTAAAATTTGGGCGAGCGATTTAGTAGGAGCGATTTATTGTTATTAAAATGCTCATTGTAGCCAGTTATTTTTAAAAAGATTTTCATCATCAATATATCAAATTACGGTATAATAATAGTACCGTAATATAAAACTAACTTTAACTTTTCATCCGGCATCAATATGGCTTTCGGAAAAATCACTCCACAACTTATCTGATGTACGATCTGATGGACGAAATATATATGAGTAAATCTAAGTCTTATAAACCAGGAATCATCTTTCTTGATCTTAAGAAGGCCTTT